TCATATTTGCATCATCATTTTTTTCAACTTAACACCTATTTATTCTTTAATGGCCTCTTCCCTGTTGAAGTTTAATAAGATCATAAGTACCATTCTTTCGCAATGACTCCATCTCTTCTTTCATTACTTTTAACTAGTGCTCTCTATCCGGAGTAGCCTACACATCTTGAAAGCTTTCTGGCTCCTTCACTGATAACTAAAATAAAATCTAAACTTGAATACCTGGTAGATGGCCTGCGCTCTCTAGGAGATCTCCTGGGCTGAAACTCTACATCACTTGATGTCGAAGGTAGCTCCCCCTGCTCAACACTCTCAGGTAGAGAGGATTACTTTTCTTGCTCAAAACTAATAGCATATTGCTCATCACCAACTGTAGCTGGCTCATTCATATCCCCAAGTTTGTTTCTTGCTCATTTTCACCATATGTGGCCCTTTCCTGTGGAATCTCTGTCGGTGTTGAAACATCACACTCAACAGTAATCTGTGTAGTCTTCTTATTTTTCTCAAAGTCTGCTATAATTTTTTTTCATGAAAGACCACATCCCTGCCTTTGACTATCTTTCTCTTTACTGGATCTCATACCCTGTAGCCAAATTCCTCATCACCATATCCTACAAACACACACTGTGTAGCTTTACTATCAAGCTTTGATCTCTGCTTTTTCGGCACATGCATGAATGCTTTACACCCAAAAACTTTCAAGTGAGAGTATGAAGTATATTTTTCCTGTCCACACTCTTTCTGGAATGTCAAAGCCCAAAAGAACTGATGTGACCTGTTAAGTAAATAACAAGCTGTGTTGACTGCTTCACCCCAGAATGGCTTTGATAATTTTACCATCCTCAACATACATTCTGACTTTTTTCACAATGGTGCGATTCATTCTTTTAGCTATACTATTATGCTGCGGTGTTTCAGGTTCTGTCCTCTCATGCCTGATCCCATGCTTTGAGCAATACTCTTCAAAGCCTTTAGATGTGTATTCCCTACCATTATCAGTTCGAATACACTTCAAGGGTAACCCTATCATCTTTTCAACCATGGCATGAAATTTTTGAAAATACTGCAGTACCTGACTTTTATATTTCAACATATACACTAAGTCTTACGTGAAGTATCATCAATAAAAGTAACAAAATATCTGTTACCACCTAATGACTCAACCTCAATGGGACCACATACGTCAGAATAAATTAATTTCAATCTATTTTTTTTCTCTGAGAACTTTTACGAAAAGAAACTCTATGATGCTTACCAAACAAACAATAATCACATGAATCGAGAGACATACCTTTGGTCAAGAGAATGAGAAAGTGCCTTGCCAAAACCTGTAACCTTTTTTCACTCATGTGTGCCAGCCTCCTATGCCACAAGTTTGCTGAAGCATCATTTTCAACGGTATTTACCTGGTTACCGTTCAATTGCATCCATGTCTTATACATTGTGTAGTATAGTTTTCCTCTTGCAACTATCATAGATCTTTTGAGAAGCTTCCATTGTCCATTTTTTTATCGGCTTTCATATCTCTTCTTATCAAGGACATTAATAGCAAGCAAGTTCATTCTCATATCTGAAATGTGTCTGACATCCCTCAAAGTTAACATGCAGCCTGTACTAGTTTGTACAACAATATCACCAATCCCAACAATCTACGACACACTCTTGTTTCCCATCTTGGTACAATCAAAGTCTTTTGCTTTGTAAGTTGTAAACAACTCTCTCTTAGGAACACAATGATATGTCGCTCCTGTGTCAACTATCCACTCAATGCCGGAATCACTAACATGATTACAATCACCATGTGTACAAATCAAAGTAACTGAATCACTATCTGAATTCACTGCTGTAACATTGTTATCATCTGAACTCTTGCTTTCTCATCTTTTCGCTCTTGCTTCAAGATTTTACAGTTTCATTTTATATGACCCGTCTTACCACAATGGAAACACTTCACTTTACCTCTAGACTTGGATCTATGTTTAGACTTACCATGACCTTTTGAATCCTGACCTCTGTCGATGTTTCTACCCCTGTTCTCTGTGACTAGAGCTTGATTTTCAGGGTCTACATCTTTTCGTCTTGCTTCTTCATTAAGCATATTGTCCTTTACCATCTCCAATGTCACCTTATAATCAGGAGCTGGATTAAGAACAGTCACAACTAGAGTATTTCAGCTGTCTGGCAATGAACCCAAAAGAAATAATGCCTTCATTTCATCATCCATCTTAAGCTCTATAGTAGTCATCTGATTAAATATATCTTGAAAATCACTCAAGTGCTCTGTAACAGATCGTCCATCCCTGTACTGTAAAGTTACAATCTTTTTAACAAGCATAATTTTATTCATACCTGTTTTTCTCTCATACAATGCTGTCAATTTTTCCCAAACAATGTGAGCATCTGACTCCTACGCTACATGATGGAACACGCTGATATCAACACATTTTCTGATTGTAGCCAGCGTCTTTCTACCTAGCTTCTTTCAACTTTCATCTTTCATATCTGCTGGTTTAGTCGAATCACCCAATACTGGCTTATACAAATCTTTGCAGTATAGATGATCCTCCATCATAGGCTTCCAAATTGAATAATTCGATGCTGTCAATTTTATCATGAAACCTGTATCACCTTCCATGATCTCAAACAAAATTTACTTCTATCCTGGGTTGCTTCTGTATCGATGTCTCAAAATAACCCTCGCTCTGATACCACTTGTTGCGCCTGAAGCAATAATCACAACAATACAAAAGCAATAGACAACAATCAATAATCAAATACGCAGGAAAAATAAAGCACACCAAGATTTACGTGAAAAATCCTCCAGTGTAGAGGGAAAAAATCACGGGCCACCAGAAAAATCTTCACTATCAAATAATAGTTATACAAAGTTCTTCTCTAACTAAAACTAGAGCTAATCAACAACTAGAGAAACAATTGGAGAAATCTCACCAAATAAGTGACTCAACAAATACATCCTAGATTTGTTCATAGAGAGCTTCAAACCTGATCTTCACCGTTCAAAATGTAGAACTCTGAATCATAAACTTCCTGACAAGGTTCCAACTCAATCGGACCACAGATCGACTTCCGTTCAACTAACTCTCCCTTCTCTTTTTTCTCTCTCTGCTTTTCCTGGCTTGTCTTCTTTTTTTGCTTGGTTTTCGACACACATCTAAAACAACCCCACCTCTTTTTTATTAAGTAGTTAGGGCTCTGTGTAAAATAAAAGATCAAGGCCCATGGCCTTTACTTGGTCCAAAATCACTTACATGAGACTGGACCCTATTTTCCTAACAAAGGAAACGTTGCGCCTATACCCTGCTGCTCCACTATCCGTGATCCATGAGGCCATTGAAGACTGCACAGTAAATGGGTACCATGTCTCTGCTGGCACTTGGCTTATATTTAATCTTCAAAAGATTCATCGCGATCAGCAAGTGTGGTCAGACCCTTGTGAATTTCGACCAGAAAGATTTTTGACTACCCACAAAGATGTTGATGTGAGGGGACAGAACTTTGAACTGATTCCATTTGGCAGTGGAAGAAGAATGTGCCCCGGAGTTTCATTTGCGCTTCAGATTTTGCGGCTTACACTGGCTAATGTGCTGCATTGGTTCGAGTTTGAAACACCGTCAGATGAACCAGTTGATATGCGTGAGGAAGCAGGATTGACAAGTCCTAAAGCAACTCCACTTGAAGTTCATATAACTCCTCGACTTCCTGCTTTCCTTTACGAGTCCACCAACTAATCAAGTTGGTTTTATATCAATAATATTGAATAGCCTTGTGAATGTCATCGAAGCGATCTTGTTCCAAGTAAATTTGATGGCATTGTGGAAAAACAACTAGTATACTAAAATCCAGCAATCATCTTAATATTTCTGGGCCATGTGGTTTATTGACTTCGCTATTTTTAATACTGGAGTTTGAGTTCTGATCTTGCTTTTTGTCTTTCTGATGAAAGCCTAGACACTGTTAAACTTGAAATCTTTTACCACCATTGACTAAAAATGTTTGGTTCATGCTCCCACCTCATTCTTTTAAGAAATGAAGTTTTTGTTTGGTCACGGCGTCGGCATATCTATCCTAGCTAGTAGCCCAAGTATTAATCTGTTTAATAAACCCAACTGGGCCGCTCTAACAAAAACTTGGGCTGTTGGATCTATTTACATTTTACTTCGGTGATGAAACTATTCGTCAATATCTTTTTTTTTTTTTACATTTATATATATAATTAAATAAATTTAATATAAAATTAAAATAAATTTACATACAATAAAATTTAAACTTAAAATCTCATAATTGTAAAATCTCATCTTTACTATTAAACTAAAATCTCATGATACCATTAAATAATAGTAGATGTGTCGAATATTCCGAATAACGTAAAATAATATCTCGAAGGGGTATCATTGGACACAGCAAGAATACCACTGAAAATCCAACACGTCATGGAATAAAAAATTGATCTTGGAAATTCAGCTTTTTGAATTGATTAAGGTTGGTAGATAAGGTTAGAAAATTAATGTGTTCTAAGAAATCAATTATACATCAGTTTGTTAGCGTGGAACATATATTTTTCCAAGCAGGAGCAATTAAAGTCAAAAGTCGCGGATCTATCCTCACAAACCGACAGAGTATCTTATATGTTGCTAATAAAAACAAGTAAATTATACCTAATACTTTGATTTTTTTTTCTTTATTTAGTAAAAAGAAGGTTCCAGATTTTTTTTATGATAAATTATTTAATTTTTTAGATAAAAGAATATTATATATAATAGTTTAAAATAAATTATTCCTTTAAAATGATTTCAATAAACAATTATCATAGAATTTGAATCTAAAATTTTTTCGTCAAAAAAGACAAATTTTAAACAATTTAATCAATCAATTATTTATAAGGTTTGAGCTAAAATTTGGGTTCAAAGTTCCGAACGTTAGTGATTGCAAAACCAAACCGACAATATCAACATGATGAGTTATAACATATTCTACACACATTCCTTTAGACATTATCCCTGCATGTTCTAAAAGGATATATATCCAACAAAATTATTAATGACATATCTTACCAAAATTTGATTAAAAAATTATTTGACAAAATATTTTATTTAAATGAGTCTTCAATTAATCTAATTTTATTAAAATTGTATCAAAAGTTATAAAAAATTTATGAAAAATTATAAAATTTTTAACTGAGGATACTAGAATATATAAATAATTATCAAATTCTACTTATATATGCAAATATTAAAATTAAATTATTAGTATTTATTATTATAATTATCATCATAATATCAAAAAAAATTATTAAATTAAAGTTTTAAAATAAAAATTACACGTATCAAAAACTATATATATATTTATATATCATAATTCTTGAACAATATTTCTCTCTAGAACCATTATAATATGAAACAATGTTTAAAATTATCAAAATGTTTTGTTTTGGTTTAATTATTTAAGAATTAATATTTTATATATTGATAGTAACATTTTTAATTTTATAAGCAAAATTAAAAGATTATATATATTTTATTTTTTAATTATTTTTTAAAAGTATATGTCAATTTGTAATTCTATTTAAAAATTTAAAACTTCTAAGGTGATAAATTTTCAATTAATTGAAACTTATAAAAAAAAAACCCAAATTGCATCATTTTCCTACTCCTAACCACAAATTAAGGGGGAAAAAAAGCAACAGATTTGTCGGTAATAATAATGGTTGTTCATGCGATCATCGATGACATCAATGTCCAAAATTTACTTAAAAAGTTCTTCCTATATATTTCATATAACTGTCAACTTTCGGCTAATCTTAATTTTTTTCTCATTAAAAAATTATTATTTTCCCATCCATTAAAGTGACTTTCTAATAATTTTTTTTAATCATAATGAAAATTTTCTATGTTCAAATCTTCCAAGTTTGACCAATGCAATTTTTAAACAAAATCCAACTACCATAACTCAAAGGCCCTCATCCTCTATAAATTGCTCATAGCTCTAGAAATAAAAGTAGAAATTACTAGCAATGGATTGGTTTCATTCATTTCCAGCAACTTCAACGGTTGCAATACTTGCTTTTCCACTACTAATCTTTCTTTTCTCTCTTCTATGGATATCAAAAACTGCCTCAAGAAAAACAAACAAGATGAAAACCGCACCAGAAGCTGGTGGCGCATGGCCTGTAATTGGCCATCTCCGCCTCCTAGGGGGGCCACAACCAGCTCATATAAGCTTGGCCAACATGGCTGACAAATATGGAACAATCTTCACTATCAAGTTGGGTGTGCATAGAGCTTTGGTGGTAAGCAATTGGGAAATTGCTAAAGAGTGTCTCACCATAAATGATAAAGCTTTCGCCACTCGTCCAAAGCTTGCTGGCATGGAACTTTTGGGCTACAACAATGCCATGATTGGCTCTGCGCCATATGGACCTTACTGGCGTCAAGTGCGCAAGTTTGCCACTATTGAGCTCCTCTCAAACCACCGGCTCGACATGTTTAAACACGTGATGGAATCGAGATAAAGCATCTTTGCAACAGCTATATCAGCTATGGAACAAGAAGAAAAGCAACTCTGGTAAAGTTTTGGTGGAGATGAAGAGATGGTTTAGAGATGTTACTCTTAACGTGATTCTGAGGATTATTGTGGGAAAGCGAATTACGAATTCCGGTGAAGAAGGTGAAACAGTGAAATGGAAGAATTCATTGGACGACTTCTTTGAACTAAGTGGGAAGTTCGTGGTATCGGATGCGCTACCGTTTCTGAGATGGTTAGACATAGGAGGGGAGGAGAAGCTCATGAAGAAGATAGCAGAAGAATTGGACCAAGTTGTTGAGGGATGGCTGCGAGAGCACAAGCACATGAGAGCTGAAAATGATGGCAAGAGTGAGGAAGATTTCATGGGAGTGATGCTGTCTATTCTCCGTGATGCAGAGGAGCACGATGCTGATACAATCAACAAAGCCACCAGTCTGGTACATGTATTTCTAAACCAAATACTCATTGCAAAACCTCATTTAATTAACTTCACCTCTTAAATTAATTAATATTTTGGGTACACAAAATACAAAACAGGCTCTTATCTTAGCTGCGGAAGATACCACATCAATCACAATGACATGGGCTTTATCTTTATTACTCAACAACCGTGAGGCGTTGAAGAAGGTCCAACAAGAGCTGGACATCCAGGTTGGTGTGGATAGACTGGTAGTAACAGAATCAGACACCAAAAACTTAGTTTACCTTCCATCTATCGTTAAGGAAACGTTGCGCCTATACCCTGCTGCTCCACTATCCGTGATCCATGAGGCCATTGAAGACTGCACAGTAAATGGGTACCATGTCTCTGCTGGCACTTGGCTTATATTCAATCTTCAAAAGATTCATCGCGATCAGCATGTGTGGTTAGACCCTTGTGAATTTCGACCAGAAAGATTTTTGACTACCCACAAAGATGTTGATGTGAGGGGACAGAACTTTGAACTGATTCCATTTGGCAGTGGAAGAAGAATGTGCCCCGGAGTTTCATTTGCGCTTCAGAGTTTGCAGCTTACACTGGCTAATGTGCTGCATTGGTTCGAGTTTGAAACACCGTCAGATGAACCAGTTGATATGCGTGAAGGAGCAGGATTGACAAGTCCTAAAGCAACTCCGCTTGAAGTTCATGTAACTCCACGACTTCCTGCATTCCTTTACGAGTGCACCAAATAATTATGTTAGTTTTATAAAATAGCATTCTAAACTTCTAAGACGTTTCATAGCAATAAATTAGATGCTTTGTTCGTACTCCGCTGCTTGAATTAATATATTTGCATTACTCTACCTTTTCCTTATTTCTTTAAAATCTCAAAAAATTTATTAATGCTTAGAGATATGTAAATTTCAATTTTAATCAAATTAATCAATCGAATCATTTTAATTCGATTAATCGATCGATTACCGAATTAAATTTATTTGATTTTTAAAAGTAAATTTAGATAAAATTCGATTTTCGATAGTTTAAAAATCGAATTAATCAAATTAATCAAAATTTATTACATTAAAATGTACCAATTCATGACTAATAATTTATATGTTTTTTTTTTTAAATTTTGGGACTGTCATTGACTCATTGTTACCTAAAAGAAAAATCCCTCATTTTTGGCTTTTGCCGGCCGCATCTCATTTGTATCAATATCCTCTCTCGGCAACCAACATTAAATCTAAAGTCTGAAGCTGTGAAATCCCTTAACTTAGAGTTCTCCTTTTCTTCTCTCAACTCTCATTCTTTCAATAGTCAATGAATCTCACCTCAGTCAATAGATACTGAAGAAACATGAGGAAGTCCGAAACAAGATTATTTTAGATAGCTGATAGCATCAAGTTTAAGGTGGCTTCACTGCCCTCTCCTTTTTTGGCTTTTTGTATCTCTTTTGGTTTTTTTTTTTTTAATGTAATTATGTTTAGATTATCATTGCTTGAACCATAATTAGGCCATTTAATCAGTGTCTCGAGTAGTATTTAATTTTTGTACTTTTTTTCAGTTTGTATTGCTTTTATATAAGCTAAAATCTCTGCTTCTTATTTCCCCCACATTTTATGTTTTAGCTACATGTGTTTTTATATTAATAATCTAAATAGTTACTGCCTTTTATTTTTTTTTGTCTATAAGTAATGATAAGAAAATATTTCAGTTAATTGAAATTTATCCGAATCGACCAAACTTAATTTAGTCGATTAATTTTTTAAATAAAAATTTTGATTTGATTAATAAAAGTTAAATAAAATATTTTAATTAATTTGATTTTAGATAATTCGATTTAAAATTAATTGAACTGATCAAATAAACAATCTTATTAATATTTTCTTTTTGTGTTTCATAAATTTTGTTTTGTTTGTATATTTTTAATTTTCTCGAAATAATTAATGTCTTGTTTGAAATGTCAAAAAACTTATTCTTACTTATTCTTATTATCCTTCCTTATAATCATAATTTAAAAAAAAAAATTTCAAGTCTTGTAAAAAAATTAGAATCAAAAGTTATTTTTCTGTTTTTACATGACAATAATGTCTATTAACTTTATATAAAGAATTTTTTTAATATATAAGAATTACAGTCTAAAAATAAAAAAATATATAAATATTAAAATTTAAATATTAAATTTATTAGATGACATCTCTTAAAAATAATTATATAAATAAATTGAACTAAAATTTGAATCTAACTTTCTAGAAGATTTTTGTTCCTTCAATATGTTCGGTGGATAAGGTTAGAAAATTAATGTGTTCCAAGAAATCAACCATGCATCATCTTGTCAGTGTGGAATATATTTTTCAAAGTATGAGCAAATAAAGTTGAAAGTCACCGATCATTCCCCACAAACCAACAAAGCATGTCATGTTTTGCTAATAAAAATAAGTAAATTGTACATGTGATTTTTTTTTTTTTTTAAGAAGGTTAAAGCTTTAGTATTTGGGTTCAAAGTTGCTGACGTTAGTGATTGTAAAACCAAGCCGACAATATCGACATAATGAGTCACGGGCATTAACCCAATGGCTGCACACCTTACCACAGACATTATCCCTGCAAATTCTGAAGGGATATATATGATTAAAAATTTTTATTTAAATGAGTCTTCAATTAACTTAATTTTATTAATTTGATTTTTTTTACAAATAATATCATAATTTAAAGATAAAAAATTATAAATACTAAAATTTAAACGTTAAATATATAAATATTACATGTTAAAATAGATTATGAATCAATTGAGTTTGTTGATGATGTTTATAAAATGTCTTAATTGGAAGGGAGAGGTAAGATAAAGGGAAGGACAACTATAATCTGCAAACAAAAAAATATAGTTAGGGATTATTGAAGTGGTTATTCAAAGACGCATTTCAACGTTTAAGTCAACAGAATGCCTGAAATTTAGTAAGAGAGAAAAGAAGATTAAGATGCTGAGGTGTTTATAGTCTCACTGAAAGAAAAACTTTAAAATGTCTTAGGGTTAGGTGTTTTTATCCGTTTCTTTGTTCTAGTCTTTCAATTACCTTATGCTTGATATCAAGTGTCAATGACCTAACTAAAACAATTAATAATTGATAGATATTTATATGGAGCTCGAAAAAATTTTATGACTATTAGTTGCATTTAATAATTTCAAATAGACATGAATCACGTTTAATAATCACAAATAAATTAGATGTCAGGTAATCAATTCTAAAATAACTACCTTAATTGGATGTCTATTAAACCTGGATGAGTTCTTGCTTTAATAATGGACAAACCATTTCCTTGGAGGTAAATGACATGGCTGGACAATCCAAGGGCATAGCTGCGTTGATCTAATTTTAACTGTTGAATAATTCACTTAGCTGTAGCACAGTTAAATATCAAATTTCACTGTATAGGTTGTTATTTATCTTATCTTTAAATAAATGCATATTTTAATGTAATTAGTTTCCACTTTATAATTCAAAATTAAGTGTGTCTAATATAAATATACCTAAAAATATTAATACTAATTGGTTAATTTTTTTGGGGGTCTCTTTTCCGGTAATATTAACATCAAAGTTACAGCCAAGACATTAATCATACCAAGGAGAAAAATGAAGTTGATGAAAGATTTCAACAAATTAATTAGTAGCTGAGTAACGTCAGTGCAATAACATGAAACGCTCCAGGAAATCAAGCAAAAGTTAGTGGGGATTTCCTGTGCAAACTCTCATTAAGAAAGTTTGGTATGTCCAAACAGTAACGATGACATGGGCTCCCTCCTTATTACTCAACCAACGCCATGTCTTCGAAAAGGCCCAAATTAATTAATGGAAGATACATTTATTGGGCCTGACTCTTGACCCTAGCCCTTTCTGACTGGAATTAGAACCCATGTAGAGTCTGGATTGACACAGGAACCGCATCGAATTTTCCTAAGAGTGGATCAGCAAACATTCGTTTCCTGGTGGAAATCATCATCTACCGGTGCAACTTTATTTAACAGCCCATAAAGGGCCGTCTTGGTGAGTTGACATGACACGACTTCAACCCAAAATGGTCCATCATCCAATTTTCTATATGTATGACTCATCAACCGAACGTTGTCCTAAAAGATCGCATTAACCATGTCATTACCTCGTCACATGGGTGTTCTTTCTTGTTATATCTGTCGTGACCCTAGGGCAATGTTCCTGCATCGTTCGCTTCTTCTTCCTATATCCTTGATCATCATCTCGAGATCCTAGTCGTCCAATCATGTCCATGCATCAACAGAGATGTAGCCTCATTGTGAGGATCTCCCGATTTGTCCCTGAAGCTGGCTTTATCCATTCATGATGTTCACCCTATAAAAGGGGAAATTTTGCAGCTTCCTTCAATTGACCTGACAGATATCCCGTCACTTTCATTTGTTTTTACTCCTTTTTTTTCTCCTGTTCTGGGGAGGTGTTTAAAACTTACAAGTTAAGAGAAGGGCTTAGCTTAACGTGCATGCTCCCGGGTCGACGAGTTCTTAGTTCTAGGTCCATCCTGTATGCTCCAGGTGCATTTCATGTAGAAAGTACAAAAATTTTGATACAAGAGATAAGTGAATCCGGTTGTTAACTATGGAGATGCATTTATATGGACCAATAAATTAATCAACAAGAACAATTGTAAAATTCATTTGTAATTAATACTTAAATCAAACTTGAAAGCCAACTTATGTGAGAATATCAACAATTGATTCATATTCTGAGGGGGAAAAACGAATAATAATACGTTTGATATTGTTATATATTGTTTTTTTTTTTTATTTGGCATATGAAACAGAATTTATTTATGAAAATTAAGAAAGCAAATTTTCCAAGGGTTAAGTAATACGGACGTATTGGAGCTTGGGTGCTGCTAACGACGTCATCACGATGTTAAACGTTTCGATGTTTTAAAAATATATTAAATATTGTCGATCATCTCTTAGATTAATTTATATATTATTAAAATTGACATTCAAAAAAAATTTTAAACACCTAATATTACCTTTAGCTAAATATGCATCAGGACAGAAGATTTAAAAATAAATTAAAATTCCAAAAAAAAAAAAAACCAATGGGACCCGACATGCTGGCTCCGTAACAGTCAACTCAACCAAACCATGTTCCTGCCCTCTCCATATGACGCCAGCCCATCAAAGAACTCGATCACATATGCCCAAAAATCAACTGTGAACACCCCCCCCTCCCCCCCGCTCTGATTCTGCCTCAGAGCTAAAACTTGGCTTTTGTGCATCTTAATTTTCTCCCAGAAAGATGGAGCTGAGCCGTAGGCAACGCTCCACCAGAAGCATATCGTTAGAAAAAGCAGTTGTTGCAGTTAGAGCAGAGAGGGTCATCTCTAAAACCGCCTTGGCATGGGCTCTCACTCATGTTGTTCGTCCAGGCGATTGCGTTACCTTGCTTGCTATCTTTCCTGGTGAAAAAAAAGGTAATTCTATCAAATTCTTTTCTTTTCTACAAGGAGAAGTACATATCGAAATTCAGAAGTACATATTTATTTTTACTGCTTATCCCTACCCTTTCGTTTACTTGGAACTTCATGTAATGACTTTGTTTTTTTGTTTTAATTTGTTTAAGGTAGCAGATTTTGGAATTTTCCGATGCTGACTGGAGATTGCGGGAGTAATATTCGGGAGGCGTTACCGGAACGGATTTGTCAGATCTCTGAGTCGTGTTCTCAAATGGTACTTCAGTTCCACAACCAAATCGAGGTAATTGATGTCAGAGTTACTTAATTGCCAGCATTGAATTAGCTTTTTCATGTGTCGGCATATGGACACTTTGGTCCATTTATCACTCTAAACAAAACTTTGCGAAAAGCAGAGTGGCATGCTTTTGTGTTTCCTAGAAACAGCATATAAACATGTAATGGATCTACTAACTGATTGAGTTGTCGAGATTTAGAAGTTTCCTGGAACCCAAACAGGGCTTAAGCTCTATCGTCAGATGGAAACAAAAAAAGTTGGTGATTGGAGGGCTTGTTTAGACTTTGGACTTTTGGGTGGTTGAATGGCATTGGCATGTGCAATTGAATCATAATCTATTTTAGGTGGCATTATTGCCGATCAACATTATTAAAGGTTTTTTCATGGAACCCCATCTCATCTTTTAATAGGGATTATTATGTTAATCTTTAATTTTTTATTTGGTCCATGAAGTGGGTCCCCTAAAATTCCATGCAAATTTCATAATTCTCATTTCATTAATGGTTGCTAATATTGCGAAGATCACATGAATTTTCTTCCTTTTTTTTTTTTTGAAGGGGAAAATGCCAATCAAACTCTTGTTCTGAGGAGAATTTCTCTTAATTGCAGGTTACTGTGAGGATTAAGGTGGTGTCAGGTACAACTGGCAGCTCAGTGGCGGCTGAAGCAAAGAACAATGGAGCCAACTGGGTCATACTGGACAAGTAATTAACCATATAAAAAAGTATTATTTCTTGTTTCTAAGCTATATGTTTAATTGGTTGGTCTTAATTGTGGTTTATCCCCTTTATATGTGCATCCAGTATACTGCTGCATTATTCCCTGATAACTTGTCTTATATGTTAATTTTAGTGGTCAATAATTCACACCAAATGCCTTTGGGATGTGCGCATATGCAGCCTTCATGTGATAATGTTATTATGTATTTTATAGTAGGATTATTGAAGTAATCACTAATAAAGACATATGGATGTTATACTCCTTAACAGTCTGTCTAGTAAATAGATCAATTTCATTAGAACTAACATTGTTTTTGAATAATATTAAGCTAGAGAAAATAGATCCAAGTAGATTGAGTTCAGGTTTTTGTGTAATGCTGTCTTTACCAACCAATTAAAAGGAAAACCAAACGGAAATGGTCTGCTTGAATCATAAGTTGTTTGCCACTCATATATAATAATAGCTAGTTTGGTCTGTAAAATCTCAGAATTCAACTCGTATTATCTTAAATTTGAAGTCATTTTTGTGTTAACTTACAAGGAGTTGTTTCTACTGAATCAGAAAACTAAAGCAGGAGCTGAAACATTGCATGGATGAACTTCACTGCAACATTGTAGTGATGAAAGGTTCACAAGCAAAAGTTCTCAGGCTTAATTTACAATGCATAAATGAACTTCGAACTCCCTATTTCTCTGCTGCTGCTTCACCAGTAATGGATGCTGGAGACTACCTAGGACATAGGCTGAAGCATTCTACTCCTGTCAGCAGCCCGGAAGAGCCAAGTATTTCTTATTCAAGAACAAGCCAAGCAGGGTTGCTGCCAAGTTCCAATTCAGCGACATCTCTTTTCCTGGTCTATCAGCAAAATCCTCTTTTCGAAGGGTTGAACATAGGAAATTACACTTTCTTAGATAATCAGGACAACTTGGATAACCAACTTACTGTTCTTGATTCACGTGCAGAAAAGCTTATAAATCTATCAGCAAAGCCAACATCTTCTATAGAAAGTAATGACAAGAGTGTATTCTGGATTCCCGAAAACCACATTGATGAAAAACCTTATAAAACCCATAGCAATAGAAAAAAAGTCATCCCTCCTACTTCCAAAACCCTGCTTGACAAGTTTGTCCAATATGATGAAGATACAAAGGCAGGTAGACTTGTCAATCAAAGCCATGGCAAAGACTACATGGTTAGCTCAAGCATTAGGGATGCAGTTGCTTTAGGTAGAACATCCTCAGTACCTCCTCCCTTGTGCTCAGTATGTCAACACAAGGCACCAGTCTTTGGCAAACCCCCAAGACGTTTTTCTTATGAGGAGCTAGAGGAAGCTACAGATGGATTTTCAGAACTGAATTTGTTGGCAGAAGGTGGTTTTGGTGTGGTTTACCGAGGGATTTTGAGAGATGGTCAGGTAGTAGCGGCGAAGCTGTTAAAGTTTGTGGGTTGTCAAGCAGATATTGATTTCTGCAGGGAGGTACAGGTTTTGAGCTGTGCCCAACATAGGAATGTTGTGTTGCTAATTGGGTATTGTATTGATGGCAACAAGAGAGTCTTGGTTTATGAGTACATATGCAACGGATCCTTGGATTTCCATCTATATGGTATTGTTTTTCTCATTTTTATTTCTTTCAATATGCTCCTTTTTTCTATTTGCATTTGGAACCTTCATCTTCCACATAATATTGGTTACAACTGGTTGACAGGAAGTGACAGAGCCTCCCTAGATTGGCAATCAAGGCTAAGAATAGCAATTGGAACAGCTCGAGGCTTGAGATATCTTCATGAAGATTGTAGAGTTGGTTGTATAGTACATAGAGATATGAGGCCCAAAAATATTCTCCTGACTCATGATTTTGAGCCTCAGGTACTTTCAATTGTTTTTGGACCTTTCTGAAAGCATTAATGTCCATGCCTATTCAAGTTGATACAAACCTGAATTCGTCTTAAAGAATAGTACAACCCACCTATCTCTTCAAATGATAATTTATCATATTTCAACCTTGTTGCAGTGTTGCTTTAGTGGCTATTTAAGTGATAAACATGAATTTTTTGGTTAAAACGCAAGTTATGTTACAGGACCTTAAGGTTCATTGTAAATATTCATATTGAGGAGCATTGCTTAATAATTTGGTAGATTCCTCATAATACATATAATTGGTATATAAGTTCTTTTATTCTTTTGTAACATAAATTCATGCCTAACTTTTTAGTTGTCCCTTTAGGTAACTGATTTTGGACTCGCTAGATGGCATTCTGATCAATGGATTGTTGGAAGCAAGGAGCGAGCCATTGGAACTTCATGGTACTTTCTAAGTGTCCTTATTTTTCCTGTCTTTTGAGTCTCATTCATCTTTTTTTTTTGGATTAAAGGTAACCCTGTTTTAACAATACAGACTTGGCACAGATATGCTTTATTAGAATCTTTGGTCTACATTCCTTAAAACCTAACATCATTGGTCGCCTGCATTTCACATAGGACAGTAAATCTTTATTCAACTTGCGAAAATTTCTATCACTCTAATGTGGCTGAAAATGATTAAATCCAGGTCTCTTGCACCAGAGTATTTGGATGGTGGAAGGATTACAGAGAAAGTTGATGTATATGCATTCGGAGTGGTGCTGTTAGAGTTAATGACAGGTCAAAGAATCAGTGACTTGCAATTTTACAAGGGACAGAATTTCTTATCTGATTGGTTCCACCCTCTAGCTGCATTAGACTCAAACCAAATAATGACAAATATTTACCAGTTACTTGATCCATGTTTGGCCTCCAGGAAAGTCCAGGACTTTACCCATCAACTACAGGCCATGGTTCGTGCTGCTTTATTGTGCATAAGTCATGATCCGGAATCAAGACCTCCAATGTCAAAGGTATGCTACCTTATCCTTCAAGTTCTAATTCATTTCATGGTCCTTTCTTTCCATAATCTTTTGTTCAGGGGCTTTTCACGTCATTGCCTGAGCTAGGTATTGAAATTAAGAAATTTCCTGTGTCATTTGCAAATTGGTTAGGTCCTTAGAATGCTTGAAGGAGGAGATATGAGCATTCCTCTGAGTTTAGACCTGAACTCAATTGGCAATAGAAGCGGCCATTTGCGTGGATTGAAAACTTGGACACAACCTGAATCTAGGAGACGCCACTCTCGAAGGCTTTCACACTGAAATGATTCGACAGACGAGTGAACTGATGCTTTTATAGTTGAGTCGGTTTTGTCTGTTGAGTGTTGATCACATGATTCTTATTTCCTTTTGATATAATTTTTTAAAAATCTCCAACTTTAGCTTTATTTGAAGAAACTGTACCCTTATTGAATGTTTCTAATATGAGTTCATAATTCGTTGCTCCATTATAATAAAGACTTTCCATCCAACAATGAAACGTGAAAGGGCAATTAATCTTTGATTGAAGTGGAAAAACAATTAGCCATAGGAACAACAATTGATGTTGTGATCGAAATTTAACCATACAGGAACAGCAGATGAAGGAAAAGAGAAAGGAACCTTTGCCTGGAAGAACGAAAGGTGACTGGTTTGTATGATTCAGCTTCATTGTCACATTCAGGCTATTGATGAAAATTTTGGCTGGGACATTACTATAAAATTTATTTGCAAACAGTGATTTCAAAACAGATATGATTGTAATCCCGGAGGGATATCTATGTTTAGAATTATGGGTCTCCACTATCCAGGATGTTGGATGAGTACACCATCTTCCCTGAAGATTTGACAGAAATAAATAAAAGAAAAGAAATTTTATTTAAGAAAGCTTTATTTGTCTCCAATTTCGTAGTAGCCAATTCGTCAAGTCCATGACATGACAACATGTAATCCCAAAATGGTTCCTTCCCTCTCTGATAGGCAAACCCCAGCAGCCAACATATACTACAAGGAACATTCTCCTCAATTACACGTGTCAAACTTATTACAAAACATGTAGACGTGGCATCATAATATTATATCAGAATACCAAAATGGAAGAACCAAAATTCTTTCGGATCAGTACCTCCCATGCTGGCTGGTTCTGCTGGTGGACGAATAGCTCCCATCAGATGGGAAAGACTCCCTATCATAACTTCCCTGCAGCTGATTCTGCTGCATCTCTGCCACCTGAGCAAACTCCGAAACGCTCCATACCTTCACGGACTTATCAAGGCTCCCACTGTACACAATCCACCGCTGCTCTTTCCCTGATTCTTGATCCTTTTCCACAGCCAAGCACTTCACAGGCCCCGTGTGTCCTGTTAGCACCGAAAGGCAGGTGTGGATGTTGCCGTCCCTACGCCAAACACATATAGTCTTATCAGCTGATCCGCTAAAAACCAAATTCCCCGCCGTCTCAAGGCAAAGAATCGCCAGCTTGTGCCCTTTAAGGACCCCGCCATGGGATAATTGCTTTTCAAGTTCCCAGAAGTTGATCAGACCGTCACTGGAGCCACAGTACAGTACTGAACCAGGGGTGTTAATTGCTAAAGCTGTAACCGCACATTCTTGTTGTAAAAGAGTTTGAGCCAACGTATGCTTTGTTCCTTTCCGCACCTGTTCCGGCCTGTTCCACACTTTAACGGTTCCATCTGCTGAGCCAGTAAAAACCATTCCACCCAAGCTCGAAACAACAGAGTTAACAGCGTCATCATGTGCATGAATTGATTCGATACATTTGGAATCAGAAATTCTCCAAACTTTAAAGGTTCTGTCCCATGAAGCAGAGTAAAGAAGACCTTGTTCCTCGTTCAAGCTCAAACAAGACACCGCATCCGAGTGTTTGATCCATAAAGAGCGTTTACGCTTCACTTCCACGTAATTGCTTGGTTTAATGGAACTTTTAAGGATATCTTTGAGAGTTGGCAAAGTTCCAGCCCGTTTATGAACGCTAGGGTTCTTAGGAGAGATTTTCCAAACACGAATCTTCCCATCTTGATGACCAGTAAAAATCCTTTCACCTGATATCACAATGGCCTTAACCAAACCACTGTTTGATTTGAAAGCGGTAAATTCTTTAAGATTCTTCCACACACGAATGTTCTTGCTATCAGAGCCAGTGTAAAGGAGATCCTTTGAGGCTGCTAAGGAATAAATATGGCCCTCTTCACGTTCCAGAGACCCGATGAGACTGTTCGCTGGAACGTTGTCGTCTTCAAAAGGGATCGATAAAGATTTGTTGAAGGGAGTGGTTTGGTTCCATGGTGACATGGTCATCGGTGAGCCTTCACAGCTCACCCTGTTGGCTTCAAAGGCAGGGCCATTAGCTGATGCGCTGCTGTAACGAAGGCACAAATCATCTTCACTCACAGGAGCAGTCATGGACATGTTAGGATCGGAATGCATAATGTTGCCAAAATTGGATCTTCGAATGCTATCAGCCTCTGCAAACATTGTGCCCCTTCCTCCGTTTCTCATTCCAATCCCAAAGAAAATGAAAAGAAAAAAATTGAATATAATAATCAAACTACCAAAGACCAAAAAACTAAACCAAATTCTAAATATAGAAGAACAAATAAGAGAAGATGGACAGGAGAGATTTGAGGGTTCAGAGACTATATCAGAAAAACAAAGTCAGGGGTGGGGAGAGGATATAGAAATGGTTGCATTTTACACTGCATGCATGTATACATATATTGCAAATATAGAAGTTGGATTGGAACGGTTCAGGAAATTTGGAGTTATCAGATTTTGACAAGTGTTCGGACCAAAATGCCAACGTGCTTGGTGGTTTTATTAGTTGCTATTTGGATTGTTACTCTTTATACGGTGGTTGGTTTAATTTTTATTTTAAGATTCTTTTCAGTATTCAATTGATTTATATGATTATTTTAAAAGGTGGTATATATTAAATAATTTTAAAATTTAAAATTTAATATTTGTAATTGATTTTTTTATTTTTAAATTGCAAACTCTTTTATAAAAAGAAATACAATATTAAGTCTATTATTTTTAAATTTTTGTAATATTTAAGAAATTAGCTAGACGAGCCATTGCTTGACATTGTTTTATTTATTTGGGATATACAGTTTGCTGAACCAAACTAAGACGTTAAGGTTTCCATCATTATAAGTCTTCATATTGAGTATGAGGCAATGAAAAATAATTGGAGCACTTCGTCCCCTTTGTTTCCTTCTTTTGGCTATGGTAGTGAGTGGCATCAACCGTTAGACAGGTAAAAGTAAATTTTTGACGGTAAAAAAAAAAAAAAAGTGACACTGTTGGATTAACTGAGTGAAGGAGGGAAATGGGGAAATTCAATAATTTACAATGATTCTATTTTTCAATCTTTGGATATACAATTCAAAGGCAAAACTAAAGCGCAAGGCCCGTATGCCCTGCAAAGTTATAGTTACAGAGAATAGCTTAAAAGATAAAAGACAACGTATACAAATACTGGGTTTTGCTATTTGTTAATTTGGCCGTTTAGGTAACTAATGGTGAGGTTTACATAGTAGAGGGTGATGGGTGTCCACTGTCCAGCGTTCACAAATTCTAGGTACCGTTAACCCCATCACAAAATCCAGCCACTATATATATATACACTTTTTATAGCAGCAAAATTGCTGAAGTCTGAAGAACATGTTGCATTGAAGATTTGTTTCCAGCTTTCTGCTGATGTTTGAAGTGTAATGGCACCCACATATGTCGTGTTCACAAGAAACCTTGAAAGAAGGGAACCGCCATTTCCCCCAATTATTGGGCAATCAGGGTTCCATTGGATATTAGACAAAATAATCACCAATCAAATCAACACTTTCATTTGTACTCAACTTAGCGATTGAAGAGGGGATTGACAAATTGTAGCTCCAGAGGAAAACTGATTAAAGGAGAGTATATCACTGTAACATGGCAAAAGAAGTGGAAAAATTGATCAGGCTGTCATTGAGTATACTTTTGCCAATTTCTCGTGCCCTTTTCCAACTTCCGACTGAATCAGATGCACTCCTGAATGAAGAATTTAGAACCAATGAACAATCGTTTGTCAAAATCATGGTAAAACACGGGCTTTGTAAATCCCCTGGCACCTAGATAAGCGAAGAGATGGGAAGAAAATGTGTTACAGCTTTCGCCAAAAATGAAAGAAAATGACGAAACAACAAAAAACCCTCTTGAATTGTGACAGGTGTTATCCAACAAGACGAACAGTGAATGCCAAGTACAAAGGACAAAAGTATAGTTGTTGTTTCAATTTCATTTTCCTGCAACCTTGACCATGTCACCTGGTGCTCTTATCTCTGCTACTAGTCTACCAACCAACCGGCCACAGTTCTATGGCCACTTGTCCCGCGGTACATAAAAGCATGGCAGTGGAAAGTATTAATGGTACAGAACCAAACTACTCGTGCCGCGATGATTGTCTCACCGGACAGGTCGCCAATCATGGAAAAGGGTTATGTCAAAGAATTATCCAATTTTCTTGCAAACTAGATATGTTACGACCTACTGGCTACGCATCAACTAGGATAATCCCAGGTGTGGAAACCCAATTCAAACGTAAAGTCCATTTTGCTATAATCACAAATGATAGTACTAATTTTCTATAAATTTCTAGACATAGGAACAATAATCAATTAGTTTTATCTTTAATTGTTTACAGCAAGATGTTTTGCCTGATTTATCCTAGACAAGAATAAAAATGAGCATTACTTCAGCGCCAGGTGATATATGACAATCAATCAATTCAGAGGAAGAACAAAAAAAAGCAAGTAAAATATTTCTGAAATCAAATTTCGCAGTTAATTTATATTTGATAATTATTGATGCATAAATTTTATATATCATCAATAAATAAAATGATAATATTTTATTAATAAGTAAATCATCTTTTAATTCATTAATAATATATAAAATTGATACATTAATAGTGAATCAAATATAAAATTTTCTTTTAATTTCCATTCAAATTTCAGTTTTTGTAATACTAATTCTAGAGGAAATTGTTGTTGCCAAACAAAAAATACAGGATCTTATTTATCGGCTGTCGTTGGACCTTGGCTGAGGAACTGCAATGTTTATTTGTTAGAAAGGGCCCTTCTTCCAGGGCCAAGCCTGTCCAAACTTTCCAATGCATTTCTTTCTCTAAACGCAAAGCTTGCCTAGTAGGCTGGGCTAAACCGAGAGAGCCAGCTTAATTTCGATTTCTTGCCTTGATAGGGCCCAAATCTAAAAATCAAATGCTTTATATAGCTCAGTTCTTACTGAGCGAAAATAAGTAATACTGTTTATGACTATTGATCAGCATCATGCCCCAAAAGAATAATCGTGTTTAATGATGCTCACATATAGATTAATATTTTTCTTATAAGCTTGAACTTTAGATAAAAGAAAAGCAGAAATTTAATGGGTTTGAGCATTTAAAAATATAGCAAGTACTAAATACAAGGATATGACTAAACTTTTGGGAAGGGGTCATCTTTTAATACAAAAATTTATCAACAGAGTTGAAAATCTTGGCCTAGATATGGTATCTTATGCTGGAATTTATCGTCTTTAGATTCCTAGCTTGATACGAGGCATTTACTCCAACTACAATTTACTACAAGCAGTCCTTTCTCTGATATCAATTACTTTACATTTAGTTTTGTTCAGAGACGTTGACAGATTAAACAACGTCGGCATGACGTTGGACTTTGTAGCATGTAATGTAAACATGCATGATGTAATTTCACATCAAGTATTTATTGGAGTTGGTTTGGGATATAAATATTTATATAATCTTTAATTTATAAAATATATTTTTTGAGTTAAAATTATAAGATTTAATAAGATTAAAAAAAATAATATCTCGTAAGTTAATGTAAATTATAATATTTTGTATCAAAAGTTGACTATGAAATACTAATAATAAATTATTGAATATTATCTTATTAAAATGAAAAATGATGTCATAATTTTAAAGAGATATCATGAATCACATTAATTATATATTAAAATTAGTATTATGATATAAATATTTATATTATTTTCAATTTATGAAATTTTTTTATTAAAATAAAATTAAAATAAATAATATCTTATAAATTAATATGTACCGTGATGACATGATATCAATTTTGAGTATAGTTAGTATTTCACGTTTGGAAGCAACAATATTGTTTCAGAAATAAAATTGGCCACAGAAAATAGATTAAATATCATCTAACCGCGTCTTCCGTGCCAAGATCCAGTGTGTGTTCACATCTTTTAGAGCTGAGATTATGGACGTCCACTAGGACGATAGACCCACTGATGATTTGATTGCAAAGATTGGACAGCTAATGATTTTTACACAATATTTCATGACCAAACAAAGAGAAAGGTGAAGAATATGAATGATGAGGGTATAGTTTTGTTGTGGTGATCAAACATTTTTGCTGTCAATGTCACAAATATCAGTATCGCTTGGCTTTCCTGTTTTCCTGCTTTGAGGTTCATTGGCCTATGTTCCCCACTTCACCTCAAGAATTGGAACTCGATCGAGAGCAACAAAAGGGTGTTTCACTTTTCATTTTTTTAATCAAAAGCTTTTGCTATAATGTTTTGCAGGCGTACCTCACTTTTTATGCATGATAATGATGAGACACCTCCCCAAATTTCAGGCTTCTGGATTTAAAACATTGCAAATATCTATAATGATTGAATAAAATATAGCGGATCTAATTAATTATGACAATTTGGAGAGTTAAAAATAAAGCAGGAGAGCCAAGGAAACGAAGTTTTCTTAACCCATAATGATTATTATCATTATTTACTGGAAGAATATATATATATAAATCAAAATTTATGAAAATAAATTGTATTTATCAATGTAAAGTTAAACTCTTGAACTTAATTTATCGTTTTAGAAGAGAATTATGAATTCTAAAATTATTTAGATTTTTACGAATTAAATTTCATGAATGTAGAAATTTTTTGAGAGCATGAATACCCAAAATTAACTTTCTTTGGATCAATAATTTTGTAAAATATTAATTTTTTATCAATAATTTGACTTATGATTTAATTAAAATTTAAATTATTTTTTATTTTTTAATTAAAACAATTTCATGAACTGAATTTTGTTATTAAGTTATTGCTCCTTTCATTAAATAATGTAATAGAAATCATATAGTGCATTACTAGATTTTAATTATCCAAAAATATAACCCTTTATGGGTATAATGTACCATCAACGTTTACTTTGGAAAATCCAATGCAAGACGACTAGAATAAAAGAAAAGGGGAAGGAAAGCAGAGCCGGGCAAGGCTTAGATTGCAATCTTATCGTCTCATCTTGACTCGTGGCCGTATCTTATTGACTTATTTCCACGGAATAAATGATCATGGGTTATTTCTTATGTCGTTCAAGTGGGAAGGTCCCGCACAACCAACCCACCCAGAATGACAACAGTTAATATTTTTTACCTAGTGCCTGTTTGGAGGTGTAATGTAATTAAATTCACCGTAGTATAAATAGAATACAATATTAATTTCAATAAAATTATTTATTATAAATTTATTATTAATTTTTCAATCATAAATATAATAATATAATTATTTTTTTAATTTCATCGTAATCAATATCATCATAATCAATTTCATCATTTATCTAAATTAAACTTTAATTGATAATATTTTAGATCAAATTTTAACATCTCTTAATCGTGCTTTTCCGTGCTATAGGTCTAATTACTATCTATCTCACCATCCAGTTAAATCCCAGTTTAAAACTACCCAAAATCCTTATACAGACTTTTAATTTTATAAAAGAATTAAACATTCCCCCAAATTGCA